TTCTTACAAGTTCATAATGGATGAACTTAAAAAGTATTACATAGTTAATATTTCAAGAATAATGTTTAACTAATGTTAACAAAAAAAAAAATTAATCATTTTTATTCTGTAAGTAATTTAATGGGTTATGATACAAAAATCATTCTGTATGCTTATTGAATTTAAACAATTTTATTTTTACTAAATTACTACTACATAAAATAAAAATGTAATTAGTAAACAAAAAATGATTATTAATAATATATTCTGAAATATGTAAATGTTTGTATAAAATTAATGCATTACTTAAAAAATAATTTGAAATAATTAGTTAGTCCATTGGTTATTAAAATAAATAAGTACATATTTCTATATACTTTTTTATATTATGATTTTTATCTTATCTCGTTTTACACTAAGAAATCTTCTTGGATTAAAAAAAATTTAGTTTTGTTTGCTAACTTTTTATGGGCATATTTTAAAAATAAATTCACCAAAATAGATAAAAACTTTTTGATAATAATTTAAATGAATACATTTGTATTAAATCATGTTTAAAACATTTTTAAAAGAATGATATAAAACTGATGTTATACGGTTTAAGGTTTTAATTTAGACTTAAATAAATAGAATTAATTTCTTTTATTGCAATTGCTATAAAAAAACATTATAAATAAAAAGTGTTTAATATTTTAAATCTTATTCAAATTAGGATTGTGTCTAGGGGAAAATTTTAAATAAAAATAAAAATTGGAAAATTTTTTTCGATATTTGTGTTATTTTTATACATAAAAAATAACTTGCATTCTTTAACTTTTTTTTTATTACACATCTTATTGGTCATCAATTTAAATCCCTTTTAAATATTTTTATACTTCATTATTTCATAATTTTTATTTAAAATAATTAAAAAATTGTAAAATACATCAAAAATGTCTTAATTAAAATGGAGGTGACTCTCTTATTAAGGAAATATATATATATATTATAATACATTTTTGAGCATAATTTGAAATAAAATAAATTATGTCAATTTGACACAGGCCTGGGGCAAGATGAGAAATTTGACATATTTTTTATTATTAAATAATTTTTTAAGTAAGTGTTATTAATAAATGAGTTTTTAATCAATGATCGCAATATATCAAATAGTATTTTTAGCAAATTTTTAATACATTTAATAATTTAATAATATAGTATGTTATGTGTGTCCATAAAAATTCCTGGTATTTGCTGGACTGATTTTGTTGGTTTATGCATCGAAAGAACGCTATTTTAATCTAGTTGAATCTATCGATACCAAACACTGTAAAAAAAACAATGAGTTATAGAAATTAAAAAATATCTCAAAATTTCATTTCTGTCAAAAATGGCATTTTAAAAAAAAATTGTCTTCATTTAAATTAAAAAAAAAAAAAGTTCTAATTTATTTTTAATAGAGTATGTTAAAAAAACAAGCTTTTATTTTGGTCTACATTAAAAAAAAAGAAAACAACAAAAAACCTACATTAAGGAAGTTTTTGAATGTCAATGTTAAAGAAAAATTTTACATGAGTTATTTTTCTAGTTTTAATATGTAAATATAAATAATATTAGTTATATATATTATAACTAATATATTTGTTATTCTGGTGAATTTTTCTTTCACTTTTAATTTTAATGCGTACCTCGTAGGGTGTTAGTAAAATGTGTTTATTTTGTATTAGTCTGCACGAATACACTACACCTACTACACCAATATTGCGCAACAGTCATACCGCGAATTATATCTAGTTGAAACATTCAAGGCCATTTTTTGAAAAATATTCTAAAATATAGCAATAGTCAAATCGAGTGATATTTATATTTTTGTTTAAATTTCAATATGCTAGACGTTTAATAATATTGATAGATAATAATGTAAAATAAATATATATACAAAATGTTTAAAGTATATAAAACCATAATTTGAACAAAAATACAGTAAAAACCGCTATACAAGGCTACCATAATTTTATACCGTAAATTAATTTTTATTCGTTTTTCAAAGAGGATAAATATTTGAAATTCATAAAGGACAACATTCAATGTAAAAACTTGTATATTTTAATAATTTGGCTATACATATAAATAATATTACAGTATTTTCTTTTATATTTACATGTGTAAAGACATATTATATAAAATATAAAATGTATTTACATATGAAAAGTAAAATAAAATGTTATTATTATTTATTTATTTATTATAATCATTAAATGGTTGAAACCCTTAAACAAAAATAGAATAAATTTATATTATTTATGTACTAAATAAATTAAATTATTTAAAAAACATCCCTTGACATGAAAAAAGATAAAATAATTTACAGTACTATTTGCTAAAATAGAAACGTGAAATTATTTTACCCTCTTATATTTGATACCTGGTATACAATACAACCATTGAATGTAACTTGGGGCTATTTTCATAACCATTAAATAAATCATATAAAACACTAGTTGGCTTATATTATTTTTGAAATAAATAGATTTAATGTATTTATATTGAACATATTTTATTATGTTTATTAATACAGAATAAATGTGGACTAAATTAACGATAAAAAATCGAGCTTTTACCTATCAAGAGAAAAGTATAACAATTCAAAATTATTAATATTTTTAAATTCTTTTGTATTTATATTTAGAAAATTCAACATCTTAAATGTATTAAAAGGTGATATACAGGGTGTTCAGTAAGTCAGGAAACGGGTTTCTATTGTTCTCATTGTTTGTAACAATGAGAACAATAGAAACCCGTTTCCTGACTTACTGAACACCCTGTATATTACCTTTTAATACATTTAAGATGTTGAATTTTCTAAATATAAATACAAAAGAATTTAAAANTGTGCCGAGAAAAAGTTAAATTATTTTCGAAAATTATACTTAAATCTCTTATGTAATTAACTAGTTAAAAGTGAATTGCTAATTCTACAATTAAAATTTATTGATTATTTCTTACGGATAAACGTAATAACACGTAATTACACTTTAATATATTAAGAGGTAAAAAGGTTTTTATACTTCAATTATTAAGTTCGTCTAAGTTTAAATGTAGGCAAACACATTTACATTGGGTGTTAATAACCAAAAATATTTTGTCATCATTAGCAAACATAAATAAATGAATAGAGGTATTAAAAATGCTAGGAGAGTCATGTATAAAAAAATTGATAAGTAAAGAGCCGAAGTGAGAAACTTGAGGTACTACAGAGTGTACCTTAAAATCTATTGTAACCATATTAAATATTTATTCATTTTATCAACAAATTATATTGTATCATACGAGTCAAACTATTTCAAATATAGATCATTTACCCCATAATATTTCAGTTTAGCTAACAATAGACGCTGACTAAATTTGACAAAAAGTATTTGAAAATGAGTATAAATACAATCTACTTATTGTTCATTATTAAGAACAGAAATAATAACAGTTTGATATAAAATTAAACCTGTAAATATTGATTGATTTTATCTAAAACCATATTAGTTATTTAATATTAGTTGTAATATCATAAATGAAAGCATTTCGTAATAATAGCTTTAGGCATATCTGAAAATTTAGATATTGTACTTATAGTTACAAACATTAGATTTATCATCTGAATTATAAATTGGAGTAACAAATGATTTTTTTTCAAGTTTCTGGGAATAAACCTAGTTTTAAGGACTTATTAAAAATAAATGTAATATTAATATTTTTAAAGTCGCAGTAAAAAATAATAATAATAATAATAATTATACTATGTAATAACCAAAAGAAAGAATGTAAGACCGTAAAGGGGAGTGTGTAAATGGATAGTATAGCTGGAAGTGTAGAGTGTATAGTATACACTGTAACACTGTATACTATGTGTTGAGGGGAATATTAAAGTCTAATAGTTATTACTTAATAAATGTAGTTAGTGTATTAAAACTACTCTTACCTGATATTCACTGATGTTGATAGAATATTGATCGTAGATTTATGTTTATTAAGAATGTTGTTAATTATTATATTAGGTATGCCAATAAAAGAGAATCGTATTTGGTTAATGGAAGCATATTTATTATTGTAGAAAATGTTAATTATTTTAACAAATGTATATTATAAGTTTAGTGTCAAAAGTTAATTTTAAAAACAAACAGCAGAAAAGAATACGCACGAGTAAGTTTGGAATTATTTTAAATTGATTAACCTGACATTGTAGTGAGAAAAGTGGTCAAGAAAGATGAAAGATTGACTGACTGACTAAAGAAGTCTCCAGCCCTTATATAACGTACCACGAAAAGCATAAACAGGGATGAAACGTCTTGATTGTGTAATGGCTTTTCATAGACATATTGAGTCACCATTCCGTCCTACAAACAAAACAAGACAGTTACTTTTTATCACCTTCCCTTATTTAATGCTTTCTGTGGTGCCTCGAAGACGCTGGGACAGACAATGACTCATGGCTACTTTGTAGTTGCCAAAAGTCAATACCATATGTATAATCGTGTTAGCATACGATCTTTTCTGTGGTCTTAGAAATACAAGAGGTATTGATTTTATTAATATTCCAAAGAGAATATTACAACTACTACAGCAACTGATAACGTCAAGCGTAGATGTAGTTAATTCTTAAAATAAATTATCCAATATAGAAATACACCAATATTTGTTAAATAGGTTTTTTTATGTTTGTATATATATTTCTAATTATATTGGTTGAGTTCAATGCGTATTGCGACCGTGTTTAATATTTTTTGTTTTGGATAAGTTTGTGCGTGTTTTTTGTGTTAGCTGTATCATAAATGCTACATCGACGAACAGTTTGCCAAGTATCAAATTGTGTATACTCCACTCTTCACCTTTTCTAGTTCACCAATGCACTGAATGCCACTAAACATTATATATTACATTGCCCAGTGTGGGATAAATAATTTTATTATCTTGGTTTCTGTAATTTCCAACTGACCTTAACCCCTCTCAAAGGCTCGAACTTCTAAGCGCCTCTATCGGTGTGATCAGTTTGATACGACGGTTGTCAGAAATTAGTCATCGTCGAAATTGGTTGGCTAGTTTTTGTCCGTAGCGAGCATTTTTTGTTTTAATGTGCGCTGAAACATCGTGTTTTTTTTTGTGTTTCTCGCGGTATATTGAACATGTAATTTTATTTTAATTTTATGGCGTCGGCTGAACCGCCTCCACTCCTTAGCCCTTCGGAGCTGGTAACGTATATTTTTTTAGATTGTGTTTTGAGCCAGATTTTTTTTTTTTTTAGTGTGCCGTGCCATAAACACATGTAGCGTTTTTTTTTATTATTTTTTTGTACGTGTCCTAATTTTTTTTAGGTCCCTCGACATGGCAAGCATGTTACAAAACCACCTGTCATGTTAATGTGTTTTATAAAACTTTAAGAAACCCAAGTGTGAGGGACTCGTTAGAAGACTATCCCTCCCCCCTTTTACTCATTGTGTAATTCTCTGTTGGTTGTGAATATTCTACTGATAATGTGATATGTGATACGTTTTTTAAACCGTGGTGTCCCAATGCCTTTCAAGTAAGGGCCAAACTACAAAAAAATAGTTTATCAGTTTGGGGCATACGGTCGGCTGGAATAATGGTATACGATGTTTGATGTAAGTCGATCGTTCAGATGTAGTTCATCGCATTTCTTTCATAAATAGTTGTAGATGTAATTTTTTTTTTTGTCTTATTATTATTATTTTTAATCTCTGTTCCCTTTAATTTGCAGACGAGGTTTTTTGACCATTCGTTTTTTTGTCTTGTATTAACTTAAATTGTTTTTTTTCTTAATAAATGCTATTTAATTAAATTTAATAACAAATTTTTTTTTTTACATTTTCTGTTTTTAACAGATTCGTGTATTTCATTTTTTTTACACTTTAAAAATCATGAAAAATACATTTTTTGTTGTGGTCATAAAATTGAAATTGATCTATATGTACCCTTTCATATTTTACCGTATAGACGTTGCTGCTGGTCGTTCAAAACCATTATACTGAGTGTTTAGTAATTATGGAAACAGGTCAATTGTTATAAACAATGAGAACAATAAAAATCCGTTTTCTTACTGAACACATCTATATAAAATTGTAACTGAACCGTACGTAATGTTTCAGAATCAGGGGCTTATTCACATATTTTTCGCCTATAGGCATTTAAAAATTTGCCGCCCTTCATAACGTTATGACGGTGGGGGCTCATTTTTATATATTTTCGCCATTTAAAAATATTTTTCAAGCAAATCTATGTTTATTAATAAAATAAATTGTTTGTAGATATTAATATACATATCATAAATACACAATAAATGAAAACGATTATGATAATTATTAGGAAGTCAATATGTCTTAACAACAATAAAAAAATAACTCGTTTTTTATAAATTTGATGGCCTTCAATATTTGCCGCTGTAGGCAGATGCCTATATTGCCTGCAAATGAATACGCTGCTGTTCAGAATATTACTCGGATGACGCTGTTGGTCGTCTAAACACTGCTCGTGTGTGTATGCGTATCCGTTTATACTACTGGTATCTGAAGGAAACAACTTTAATATTCGTACACAAAAAATGTATTTATTATAACTATTTAAAAGTTTGCATTTTTAATAATCATAATGTAGAATTAAGAATATAAAATTAATTTTCGTCTTTTATTTAATTTTAGTAGAGTGTGCGATCATCCCATCGTCCAAACCACAAGCCGCCATTGGTATTTCATCAGGATCAACTCTGGAATAAATATCTGAACTACTTAAATATTCATTAATCTCGTTTTTACTAACATACCACACATGTAATTTAAAAATATTATTTGATTTAATAAAGGAAATTGGAATATTAAGGTTAGCAGGATCGACATAAACACTTGAAAAATAATTTCCAAAAAAATTAAAATTTTTCTTTGTTATTAGAAAATAAGACTTGATTGTAAATAATATTATCAAAGATATTTTTTTCAAAGTATTTATGTATGTTCCAAAAAACTTGACACTAATTTTAATATTATTTTAAATTTTGTATAAAAATCTTGAATGAATTGCAAAAGTTTTTTTATTTTTTTGAGAAAATGTAAATCTGTACAATTTAAAGCGCAATAAGTATATGTATTTATATAATACAAAAACATGATACATTTGAGAAAGAAGTTATCAATTAGTGACACTTAAATTTGATAACATAACATTTTGGCTATTCTACCAATAAGTTATGATACCACTATCTCTTTAGACGTCGTCTAGGATTTCCTGATAGAGTGTTATTATTCAGTTTATTGATAAGACTATTTGGATGGTTATGCAATTTATTAAGAAAAAGTTTATAAAATTGAACAGTCTCTTCTGTTATAATCTTCATAAGAAGATTTTTATGTAAATTATAGATCGATATTAGTTTTCAAAGAAGTATGTCGTTTATTTCTTAAGAACGAGCGTAGCAAGCTAAGACGTAAGTTTAAAAGAAGTAATTTTTTACGAATATGGTTGTTTCGTGTTAATCGTTTGTTAAGGGTTAAACCTAAATATTTCACTATATCGGAGGAAGGAATGGGAGTAATATTGAGAGATGGTTATTTTTATACTACGTATTTTTGGATAGTTTATTTAATTTCGTTAGGTCTGAAATACTTTTCTGTGAGAAAAAGTGGTATAGGAGCGTTTAAAAATGTATTCAAATTATTGATATGATCTGAATTAATAATATCAGCCTGAGGTTTAAATTAGACAGAGTTTGTCTGAACCAGCTATATGATTTTGATTTGTTGGTTCAACAGATCAACCAAATGAATTCAAATTAAAATTACTAGTTATAAGAAAAAACTATCGATTGTAGTAATTCAAAATATAATTTTTATAGAAAAGTTGGAGATGTCCAGAGGTTTTGTTATTATTGTCATATTAAAATGTAAAAGGTTTATGTGAAAGAGCTAAATATAGTAGAGCACGAGTGAATTACTTCGTATAATTTATTATTAATTATATTGTCGGGGTCATAGTTTGAGAGTTCAAAAATAATAATGTTATTTTAATAATTTAAGATATAACTTTATTCTGTTGATTTGTTAAATTGTAAGAATATGGTTTCATGTATGTCAAGTAACCCCCAGTAGCATGTGCGTTATACAGACTTGAAGGTGTTCTTCCACCAGTGACATCGGCAAAAGCATGATCGTCTCGCTTCAAAGATTGCTTTGTCTAGTGTAGTACCGGCAGCAACATAAATTTCTCACTCCTAGGAATTTTAAAACATGTGTACACTGTGTATTTTTAATTTACAATAAAATTAATTACTTAAATATTTATGTTAATGATTTAAACTACTCATAACCTTGATATGAATGTATTGAAGCTATCGTGGATTGTTGTATTGCTTGAAATACGACTACGAGCCTGAAACTATCGCTCTGAAGATGGACTCTGCAACACGTCCAAAACGTCAACTGATAACAGAAAACGTGGATAAATGCGTAAAAATTTCAAGCAATTTTTTTATAATAACTTTATTATTTAAAAACGATCAATACTTTTGAAGATATGAAAATTTATGACAGAATTTAATAAAATTGATTCACTTTTTCGTTGTCTTTATTTAAGCTATTAAAATAAATTACAAACAGGTAGAAACAATTTATAGTATAAACATCGATATAAGAATTGCAAGTTTCATAAAACATACAGTAATTGTTTTTTATTTGCTTTGCACTGTGTTAGCCTGACACTAAAATGCTAAGTGCCTAGCTAACTGTACAACTATGTTCTATATTATTCTTTGCCGTACTACATTACCGAGTAACTATTGCACATTAGTACAATAGTTACATTAAAACGAAAACATTATTATTGAATTATTAGTTATGTAATATTTTTTAAGTTAATCCATTATGAACTTTGTAATGATGTCAACTTTGTTTTTTTCAAATGGGAACACATATTTTATATTTAATAATATATTTGAGATTTTATTTAATAGTAATTGGCGTTTGAATTTTCAATATAACTGTTTTTGTTTATTAGATATAAAATGTTAAAGTTACAAAATTTTGGGATACTATACATGAATAATACACAAGAGATTACAAATACAGGTAGCTAATTGGTTTTTTATGGCGTCGATATTCGCAGGTACACAGCTTTTATTATCTGTTGTAGTAAGACACATTGTTGTGAGTTTATAAATACACTAACTGTCATTACATAAAGCATATTTATTGATAGACTTAATTGACAACAAATATTCCGTGATTGTGATAAAGACGTCATAAAAAACTATAAGATACCTGTATTTGTAATCTTTCGTGTGATATACAGTATATTGATTCAAAAAATAGTAAATTTAATATTTTATATCTAATATACAAATGAAGATTTATTAAAAATTCAAATGCCATTTACTCTATTAAATTAAAAACTCAAATATTTTATTAAATTAAAAATGTTCTCATTTGAATAAACAATGTTGAATCCTTACAAGGCATAAGGGATGAACTTAATAATAATAATTTAATAATAATGTATAACTAAAGATAACAATAATAAAATTTAATTTTTTTATTCTGTAAGTAGTTGAGTGGGTTGTGATAAGGAAAATCATTCTGTATATAAAGGGTGTTCAATAAGAAAAAAGGGAGGTTATCGTTTCCGCCAAACCTGAATAATGTCGCTTTTTCGATTTCGCCAAACTAATCTTCTACCTGTCTATCTACTGAAAAATTTGTGCACCATATTTATCCATAGTTTACCATGACGATCCAATATCGCTTTTAACATACGGCCAGGTTAGGTAGTTGCCAGTACCAAATTGTTTGGCTTTTATAGAATGTTACGTTCAGGCCTGTATTTAAGATTTTTGCGTGGGGTATTAATATTAATGAGCAAAATAAAGTAATTTTTTGTCCTATCACTATCAAATGAAATTCGCCCCCAAGAATTTTTGACCCCCTTAACCACCTCTAAATATGGTCTCGTCGTTTTGAATAATTACTTATTTTATCACATAGGCATAAATTTATAAAGAAAATATGACGTTTTACCTAAGGTAAATAAATTCTAATAGATAATTATCTTAAGTATGTATAATAAAAATATAGTTTATAAGAAAATAAAAAGTCATCAAAACATTGAAATAAAATTCAAACATTAACAATAAGCTTAAAAAACCCAGCACAGGGGGGTCGCGGCACAGTGGTGACGTGGCATAGTTGGATCAAGTATAATGATATCTGACAGTGATTAAAATCACTATCAAAAAAAAACGCTTCGATGCAAATCTTTAGATAGTGTTTAATTTTAATAAATTGGTGGATTATTCCAAAAGCTACATGATCTGCTAGTTCCTTATTAATAACCTGATTAAGATAAAGTATGTCGAATGAAAGATCTATATAAATACTACTTCTCATAAAAAAATTGTAATGATCCATACATTTTTCAAAAAGTTATAGCATAATAAAGATAAAAATGTAAAATACAAAATCGAAAATTTTCACACAAAAAGAGCATTCGGTAGCCATTTTCACCCTGAAGATAAAATAAAGTCCGAAAAAAAAAACACATCTTAGTAAAACCAATACCTTCTCAGCTTCGCATCGAAGCTAAAATATCTAATACCTGTAATAATGTAATAAAAAATAGATCTATAATCTATACATTTTTCGATAGTCGTTGAAAACTAATTTCACATTTTCAAATCGGCTAATTTCATTGTTATTAAATTTATCACTTGTTTTTTTTAGCTTCGATGTGAAGCTGAGAGGGTATTGGTTTTACTAAGATGTGTTTTTTTTTGTGTCTGTTACCACTTTTTCTCAGCTCTCACTGAACCGATTTCTTTCAATGATACGTCAAAAGATCACAAATAGTATCTAGTCGAAGACATTATCCTCAAAAATTGAAAAAAATTCCCTCGTTCCCCGTAAATGGGGGAAACCTCCGAAAAATTTACAAATTTAAAAATGGCTAATTTTCGAAATTTTTTCAATTTCTTTTACTAAAAACTGCCGTAACTTTTTTAAAAATAAACATATCAATANACCTGTCGTAACTTTTTTAAAAATAAACATATCAATATAATTCTTTTTTTTATAGATGCATTATGTCATTACCTATCATTTGGTATATTTTTTTTATAAATCTGACTTTTTACCTGCCCACAGGGGGGGATTTAAAATGACAACTTTTTTACAAAAAATTAATTTTTTCAACTTAACTTTTAAAAGTGTTCCGGAAAGTATGACACTTTTATATATATATTAAATTAAAGCTAATGTAATATACTTTATCATGAAAAAAAAAATTTGACCTCTGGACTTTTCTTCGTGTTGAAAATGGCTACCAAATGCTATTATTGTGTGAAAATTCTCAATTTTATTTTTTACATTTTAAACTTTATAATGCTATAACTTATTGAAAAGTGTATTGATCAATATAATTTTTTTATGGGAAATACTATTTTNATCAATATAATTTTTTTATGGAAAAAATTATTTTTTAATAATCCCTTTTTCATTCGACATACTTTATCTTAATCAGGTTATTAATAAGGAACTAGCAGATCATGTAGCTTTTGGAATAATCCACCAATTTTTTAAAATTAAACACTATCTAAAGATTTGCATCGAAGCGTTTTTTTTTGATAGTGATTTTAATCACTGTCAGATATCATTATACTTGATCCAATAATGCTACATCATCACTGAGCCGCGAACCCTGTGCTGGGTTTTTTTTTACTTAAATTTGCCATAACTTTTTTAAAAATAACCGAATGATTATATATATTTTTTTTTATAGATTCCTTAGGTATTTTCCTATAATTTTATATATTTTTGTGATCATTTTACCTTTTACTAGT